AAAGCACTTGTAGGTCCATTTGCACTTTTATATAATGTCAAATTGTAAGGGGCTGAACTCAAACTTCTATCAGTGATTTTAATTCTGTTGTCAACTATCGAGACGATTGCTTTATGAGTAATTTGCTTGTAAGTGAATGTCGAATTGTCAATCATGCCAATGTCAGTACCAAACGGGACAATATTGACTCCATTTGCTTTTTTGAAAGCCTCGACTATGTCTCTGTTTGTAACAAGGGGTAGTTCAGTTCCATGCAGATCAATTACATATCTCCAAGTGTGGTTGTATTGGAGCAGCTCCTTCAGACAAACCAGGTGCGCATTGAGAGTAGAGGGGGATGCATAAACAACTTTGGCAGACTTTTTTGGTATGAGGATGTTCTTTGGATAGCAAGTCCTTGCAAATTTCTCTATTGCTTGTCTCCATTTTTCAGGAGCTTTTCGATCAATATGAAGACAGATCAAGTTCTGTGGCCTATAAAGATGCTTCAGTAGACGCATGTACTGTCTCACTGCAGATTTTGACTTTTGGTGGTGAATGAGTACCACATAAGCGATTGGGAATTGTTTCTCAACTGGAGAATTGTAGTGAAAGGTGTCATTGAGAGGCCAAGAAGAACATTCGAAGGACAGCCTGTGCCAACTAGTGCGGGAAGTCAGCGGCTTTTGTGGAGCTCTTTGCCTACTTCTGGTCACAGCTACCATTTGTGAACGAGTAGGTCTGTTTCTAAAGCAGCTAAATAGAACCGTAACAGAGAGAAACATAATAAAGAGAAAGGTGATAAACCATATTTTCCTGTACATTTCTTGCTTTCTTCATAGTATGAACAATCTCCGCTAGCTAGCCCCACCCAATGTAGAACTGGACTATAGACCCTGTTATCATGTTATCATTGGTTGGTGGGTAGGTGCTTTCAGAATCATCAGATTACCATGAATTGCACAAAATTCATTTACAGCTTGGTCAGCTCCAAGTAACTCAGCATTGAAGTCTAACTTGCAGCTGAATTATCATCATTATTATTATTATTATAAACTTTACACACGGTAAAATTTACAAAAAAGATAAACAAACCGTGCCAAAAAGGACATACTGAATGAAAACTGTGAACCCAAATAATTTTTAAAAACTTAGGCTTAACATACTTACAGTGGTGGGTATATCAATCTGTGCTTTCTACATATTTCTCTGTAGACTATACCACATGTTTTGAGTCTTTTAAAATTTGATAAATAATTAAATAAAATATCAGCATTCAATAATTTTAACAGTTTTTACAACTGAGGTACCCAAGTTATATTTACTTTAAAAAATTAGGCCAAAGGTTTATGGATCACAATTTTATTGGGTTTACAGTAGTAATAGGCGGCTACAGAATCTTGAATTAACCAGGGCTCATTAATTATTCATAAGAATTAGGGGTGTGGTCAATTAATAAAATGACTGAAAGTCATTATGATTGATAGCTCACAAAAGCCAGTTACCACACTAAATTGACTAAAATAACTGTAAAGTGGAGCTAATAGCAAGTATAAACAGTTGTGGCTATAAAAAATGAATTCTAGTGATGATCTCACTCCTAATAATAACAAAACACACCTTTTGGGTGTGGTTTTGGTTGAAAACTACCAGGGCAAAGCCCTGGCTTGCCCGGGCCTATAGCCGCCTATGCTTGCAGTCAAATCATGAAGTACTCAATCAGCTATTATGCTTACAGCCTAAAAATACAATAATGTCATAGATAATTTGATATTAATACAGTTTGATAATTTAAGAATAATTATAAGATAATGGTTCCGATTAAAAAAATTGAAAATTAACAAAAATAAGTTTGACCACGCCCTGAACAGATTTAATAACTTTTAATTAAGCAATGAGGTGTGACTTGGAAAACTGAAAGCTCGACTGAAAGCATTGCATTTTGGACTCAAGATGGTCAGTCTAGTCAACGGAGATGGAAACAACAGTGGAGTAAGTCTACCTCTACATCTCCTAAACTCACTATAAACTCAAAATACCCGCAATACATACCATTAAATGGAATTAAGAATAGAATGTATGTGTAAGAGGATGGCTCCTCCCACTGTTCCTATTAATAGTAACAGGGACATTGCATATAATGAACTGCCTATTAGTTGTGAGTTACCAGTCAAGTAGTCGAGAGTTATGAGCCACATGGAATACTTTACCAGTCCTTCCAAACAGCGTAATAAAAAGACAATTGCAGATCTGTCCGACGAGTTTACCAACAACAAGAAAAATTGGTGCAACTTTTGTTCTGAGCTCTACCCCATTAAGAAGAAGCCTAAGTATATTGAGGTGAAGTATGATTTAGTTGTAACAATTGGTAATGGAAATTTGGAATGGTGTCCAAGATTGATAGAGTAGCTCTTTGTAGTTAGTACTGTATAAGCTGTACCTATCATAGAACAAATAAAATATTATTTTGTGTAATAACTCATCCTATTGGTATATGAATGGAGAGATATCACATCAAATATTTAGTCACTATTTTAAGTACTACTATTATGCTTTATCATTGTATGCGTAGTCTTTTACTGACAGTTATTTGCTGTTAGATAAAATTTTTGATTTTTGTTGTCTCCATTGCATGCATTATACTGCCATGTACATGTGCTGCATGTAGGTTTTGAAAATTGAATTTGGTTGTTTTGTGTATTCAAATTTTGAATGACAATCCCATTCAGACCAATGTATGGTCTGTATGCTAGTGTACATGGTGTCCCTCAGTGTAGCTATTGATCCTATTGAGGGCTCATCTTGTATTTCTCTATTAAGATCTGTTTCAATAGTCCTCATACGATAATCTGTGGGTGGGGCCTTATGGGGTGTGGTCATTAGAAAATGAAAGTTTGGCCAAACGAAAGAAACCCACTATACGGTAGTCACAGACAGCTGTTGTATGGATTCTGTGGTTAGCATTCTATCTCCACAATTGTTGCATCAGTGTTCTAAGGCTGTTGTGTGGCTATATGGAAACCAGGCCTAAGCCCTACAGACTGGCTATGCAAGACTATATTGATCATTAATAATGTCTTCATTGTCTTGTAGGTTCAGTTAGAGTCACATTGCTACCACTTAATTCAGCAACAGAACTGGGAAAGAAATCGAAATATGAGAAATTATTCCACTGTGCCTTTTTCTCAAACAGGTATGTTAATTATCAGTGCCTCATAATTTGATCTATTAAACCTCTTAAGTGTAGTCTGGTGATCAGCCCCAGACTATCTTAAGAGTACATGTACCATACTTGAGTACAAAGACATAGGCTAGCTATATTATTTTATTTATTTCAGTATGATACATCATCTAACATCTGTCAATGGACTGGACAGAGTAATGAATGAAAGATGCTTACTGATATGTGAAACGGCAAGGTACATTAGATTTTATAATATTGAATTTTAGTCATGCTCATAGATTCATACTTGATTTGAGAAAAGAGAACAAAGATGAATATCTTAAGAAAGTAATGCAAATGGCTTTGGCCATTGGATTTAAGGTATTATGATAGCGCTGTGGTTAAATTTATTATAAATGTCACAGTCATCTCAAGTCGAAACAGATGCTAGCAATACTCTGTTGTTCACACTATCATGATAATTGCCATCATTAGCACTCCTTATCACTTATTGTTACTAATATGACAATTTATTATTATTATTCAAAAAAATAAAATTATGATGATACAGACAAATAGTCATTGATTTCTTCATTCTCATTTCGGAAAACAAGGTTTCTTTCTATATAGTCCATGATCCCCTTATTGTAGCTACTAATGTATTTATTGTGAAAGAATTGTGACCTAGCTTCTGATCTCTGCTCTAGCCAGTTGATATCACTAGTGCTAACCACACATATGTTATGCCTGTAGTGTTTAGCCCTGCATATTTTAGGATTATTATTATTCTGTTGAAATACCCTTGTTGAAACTATCGGAAGTTCAAAATTTAATTGTTTCCGTTTGAGCCAGCCACCTGGTGCCTCTGGAAGGTTGTTGAGTGTACTGAAGAAGTACTCCTCAGCACTCATGACGTCTTGTAAATACTTTCGTAGAGCTATAGCTTTAGGAGACGAGAATATAAATTTCACAAAATCTCTAGAAAAAGCACTTGTAGGTCCATCTGCACTTTTATATAATGTCAAATTGTAAGGGGCTGAACTCAAACTTCTATCAGTGATTTTAATTCTGTTGTCAACTATCGAGACGATTGCTTTATGAGTAATTTGCTTGTAAGTGAATGTCGAATTGTCAATCATGCCAATGTCAGTACCAAACGGGACAATATTGACTCCATTTGCTTTTTTGAAAGCCTCGACTATGTCTCTGTTTGTAACAAGGGGTAGTTCAGTTCCATGCAGATCAATTACATATCTCCAAGTGTGGTTGTATTGGAGCAGCTCCTTCAGACAAACCAGGTGCGCATTAAGAGTAGAGGGGGATGCATAAACAACTTTGGCGGACTTTTTTGGCATGATGATGTTCTTTGGATAGCAAGTCCTTGCAAATTTCTCTATTGCTTGTATCCATTTTTCAGGAGCTTTTCGATCAATATGTAGACAGATCAAGTTCTGTGGCCTATAAAGATGCTTCAGTAGACGCATGTACTGCCTCACTGCAGATTTTGACTTTTGGTGGTGAATGAGTACCACATAAGCGATTGGGAATTGTTTCTCAACTGGAGAATTGTAGTGAAAGGTGTCATTGAGAGGCCAAGAAGAACATTCCAAGGACAGTCCGGACCAATTAGTGCGCCGGGGGGGTAGCGGCTTGTTTTGCCTGCTTCTGGTCACAACTACCATTTGTGAACGAGTAGGTCTGTTTCTAAAGCAGCTAAAAAGAACCGTAACAGAGAGAAACATAATAAGGAGAAAGATGGCAACCCATATTTTCCTGTACATTTCTTTGTTCATAATCTTTCATGCGCCCCACCAAGAGTAGATAATAATTAGAGGAGAGTGTCGATGTCCTACTGTGCCTATCATCACGCCGTAGAATTGAAGAGTCACATTCAGGATATTTTCAGTATTTTTGACTAGTTATTTGAGAAAATAACTAGCAATAATACGGAAATAACCTGATTGTGACTCTTCAATTCTGCGCCGTGATGAAGCAGACCTTATAGCCAGTATAGTAGGACACTCTCCTCTAATTATTATCTACTCTTGGCCCCACCCAATGTAGAACTGGTCCAATTGGATAGCTGAATTAAGCTGATCAGATACACAAAATCCATTAGCTTGCAATGGTCAGCTCCAAATAACTCAGCATTGAAGTCTAACTTGCAGCTAAATTATCATTATTATAAACTCCATTTACATTCTACACACGGTAAAAATTTACAAAAGTTAAACAAAAGAAACAAATAGAAAATACACAAAGAACATACTGAAAGAAAACTGTGAACCCAAATAATTTTAAAACCTTTTGTTTAACATTCTTACAATGGTAGGTATATCAGCATTCAATAATTTAAACAGTTTTTACACTGAACTGAGGTAAAATTAGGCCAAAAGTTTATGGATCACAATTTAATGGGTTACAATAGTAATTGAAACTCAAGTAATATGAAATAGCTATGGCAGCTCATGATAACTTAATCAATGAGCTATCATGTTTAAAGCCTACTCTATGTAAAAATACAATAATGTGTTCATAATAAGAGTTTGATAAGATGATATTGATAAGATAAGGTAATAAATAATTACTCTAAAAATTAAAAATAAAATCATAGATAATAGAGTAAAGCCTCAGTAAATGAACTATACTATTATCTACTCAAATATTTATGATAAAATCATAGATAGAATGATAAAATCATAAAATCATAGATAAAAAATGAAAAAAAAGTAAATGAAAATTTACTCCATTATCTATGATAAAACCATTTACTCTAATATCTATGCATAAATTTAATAAGCTTGACCACGCCCTGAACAGATTTAATAACTTTTAATTAAGCAAAGAGGTGTAACTTGGAAAACTGAAAGTTCGACTGAAAGCATCGGCATTTTGGACTCAAAATGGTCAGTCTAGTCAACGGAGATGGAAACAACAGTGGAGTAAGTCTACCTCTACATCTCCTAAACTCACTATAAACTCAAAATACCCGCAATACATACCATTAAATGGAATTAAGAATAGAATGTATGTGTAAGAGGATGGCTCCTCCCACTGTTCCTATTAATAGTAACAGGGACATTGCATATAATGAACTGCCTATTAGTTTTGAGTTACCAGTCAAGTAGTCGAGAGTTATGAGCCACATGGAATACTTTACCAGTCCTTCCAAACAGCGTAATAAAAAGACAATTGCAGATCTGTCCGACGAGTTTACCAACAACAAGAAAAATTGGTGCAACTTTTGTTCTGAGCTCTACCCCATTAAGAAGAAGCCTAAGTATATTGAGGTGAAGTATGATTTAGTTGTAACAATTGGTAATGGAAATTTGGAATGGTGTCCAAGATTGATAGAGTAGCTCTTTGTAGTTAGTACTGTATAAGCTGTACCTATCATGGAACAAATAAAATATTATTTTGTGTAATAACTCATCCTATTGGTATATGAATGGAGAGATATCACATCAAATATTTAGTCACTATTTTAAGTACTGCTATAGTCATTATGCTTTATCATTGAATATGAAATCTTTATTTGCTCTTAGATTTTTGATTTTTGTTGTTTTCATTGCATGCATTATGCTGCCATGTACATGTGCTGCATGTAGGTTTTGAAAATTGAATTTGGTTGTTTTGTGTATTCAAATTTTGAATGACAATCCCATTCAGACCAATGTATGGTCTGTATGCTAGTGTACATGGTGTCTGTCAGTGTAGCCATTGATCCTATTGAGGGCCCATCTTGTATTTCTCTATTAAGATAGTATGTCTGTGAACATCATGTGACATCTGTTGAATTAGTAATAGGAACAGATAGTCTCCCCCTCTCTCTCAACACACATACGTACTTTTAGTCTTTTTTCTATTTTTTCTCTTCACTTTTTTGTTTATCTCTTCTCTGTCTCTTCCTATCTTTTTCTCTCTCTTAATATTTAAAGGGTTATATGTTTGAAGACTCGGATGATGCAGATAGTGCTACCGATCGCTCACCACTTGTGAGACAGCAGCCAGCAGATGACGATACACTCCACAGACACACGCACATCATAACAGGATACCTGTCAATATTTGAAGTCATAGTACTGGTAAGTGTTCTCATTTTAATTATAAATGTACATGTAATCTTAATTATAATTCAAGTTTCTACTAATAATAAAGCATGCTTCATCAGCTGACTAGCCTAGTAGCATATATAGCAGC